AGTGAGAACCCAATTTTGCTGGTGAAATAGGGCTTCCAGTCCTCTTCTGCTTCTTTTCTTTCTGTTTGAAGAACTAGAACAATAAGTTCTCAAATTGTGAAGAAGTGCATTTACCTTCCTTTTAAAAGCATGCTAATTGATGATCGTCACTTTAATCATACATAGTTCTCTGCTTTTTGACATAAGTCCAGGAACCTACAGAGCGTCAACCTCACAAATTCAGTTGTACTTTTTCTTTCAACCCCCACCGTGTTCTTTTTGTGCTGCATTTTGAATACAGGCCTGTGACCCAAAGCCCACTTCTGCCCTGTCTTCTCTCTGTGACTCTGCTTTTCTTTTCATGTGCTACTGAACCCTGATGACCCCTCACCACCAGGACCAGTGGACACTGGTGAGGCTTTTTCTGATTGGGTTTCCTTATGCACTTGACCATGTTGTCTCGGCCTCCCTGAAGCCAGCACTGTGTAGACCTCGTGACTCTTAGACCTCTCTGTTTCTATCTGCCTTTGTTCTCTCATGTCCCCCTTCCTGTCCCTCTTCATTGGTCCTCTTCTGTATTCCAGGATGCTATTCCAAGGCTGTCTCATCTCACTCTGAGCATTCTCCTACTGTGGTGCCTTCTTTTGGAAGGCGTCTGCCAGTTGCCTGTGCTCAGAGCTGCATCTGTGGCCTGGAGCTTTCCTCTGAGTTTTAGACTCATGCCTCCATCTACTCTCTGGCCCCGGCCTCGTGGACATCCAGAGCTCTAGGAACCCCTGCCTCCCCGATCTGCAGAATTTCTAGACTGTGGCATTTTCCCCTCTCTGTCATCCAAGTGTGAAGTGAGTGAGTCCTCCTTCTTCCACACATCATGCCAAGCATTAGGTCTGGCTGATTGTCCTTCCTCATCTGCCTTAAATGCCCTCTTCCTTGGTATATCTTGTCTCAACCCCTGAAAAACTGCACAGTTTGTTCCTTTCAAGTCTTTCTTTCCTGTGGTTTCCAGACTGACATTGCTGAATGGAAAGTTGGCCATGTCATTCTCCTGCCAGGGCCTCACGTCACTTCCCACCCCAGCACCCAGTGTCCAAGGACCTGGCTGGTAGCTGCCTTTCTCCCTCCACTTTCCATCCCTGCCTTAAAGCAGCTCTGGTGCTGCCCACAGCTCTCTCGACACACAGTGCTCCTCATTTCTTAGAGTTGATGGTTAGAGCTGCACTGCCTTATGTCTGGGAGATCCAGGATACCAATCCAGGCCCCTCCCAGGGGGGTTTGGGGAACGATGTACTCAGGAAATCATGGCCAATGGGAAATCAAAGAACTCCTTTATTGTTGGCTGTACTTGGGGCCCCAAAACCTATACAGACCAATGGTCTGGCTAGGGGACTATGGAACTTGTGCCTCAGTTTCCTTATCTGTAAAATGAGAATAACAATTTTATATACAATGTAAGGTTATTGAGATATTCATTAATGGATCCATGAAAAACACCCTGTGCTATCTGAGTTCTCAGCAAATATTGCATAGTAATAATAAGGATTGTTAGGTCTTGTTACTCTGGCTCATAACTCCAGCATAGCACTGAGTTTCTAGTCACAACAATGGGCCCCCTGTCTTGTTTGATTCACTGTCTTTGGACCACAAGAAGAACTTGGATGTTTTATTCCAGATGAACTAGGCTTGTGCAGCCTGTTTATATCTTCCTCCTAATTCTTGCCTGGATTCTGGCCTGAAAGCTCTGAATAAATAACTTCCCTTTTGAGACCTAGTGTCATTTGCTATTCGTGAGTATCTGACTTAGAAACCCAGTCTCATGATTTAGTTTGTCTAGATAGCATTTAATCTTTGATGTTGACATTAAAGTCCAAAAACTTGTATATATTCAGAGAGTCACAAATCCGCCTCACTCACCGCAGGGCCTCCAGGTCAGAGAGCCATGCCTGTCCTGCTGTAGGGGCCGCCAGGTAGATGCTTCGGAGATGGCGTCTCGGGGCTCACAGCATCAGTATGCACTCAGGCTTTCTGCCCCTGCTGTCTGGGGGCTGCCTCTTCCCCAGCAGCAGCCCGGTGGAGCTCCATGCTGGCCCATGGCCTGTCACTGGGGACAGAACTTGCTCTGCTGGAGAGGCCCAGCTGCCTCTCAGGTAGCACAGTAAGTGAGGAGAGGATTGTGAGGGGCGCAAGGGAGCAGAAGCAGCCCCAGGGAAGGGATAGCATGGCGTCTTGCTAACCCCTGTGCTGTGGGTGGCAAAAGGCTATGAGGCTGCTGAGACCTGGCGTCAAAGCAAAGCTGAGCAGACACAGACCCCAGGATGCTAGAGAGGGTCCTCTAGGAGGGAGGATTGGCCTCACTGAGGGTCCCTACCAATGTGAAGGTAGACACCAGCTGCTCAGAGAGTGGTTCCTCAGATCCCGATCTACCTAGTCTCCTCATTCATGATTCTGCCAGGGAGCTGAATAAGGGGTTGAGACTCTCCTGAGTTTGCTTTGCTACAGGAAAGGGGAAATTGGCTGTGGGTCTGAAGTTAGGTTCACGGGACCTGCTCTTGTTCTTATTCTGTTCTTATTCTAATGCCCCCTCTCTTCCTGCTCCTGTTGCTCCCTGACTGCCTGGGTTGGCAGTGTAACATTTTCAGGTTTTTTTCTTTTTGATTTCTGTGTAAATGCTAACATTCCAAAAACAATAACTTCATAATACTTGCTTATTTAGAGATGAAAGCACTTGAAAATGGTTGAGCTTTTATTTTAACTTTGCACTAATCATATATTGGAATTTTAGACCTTTTGTTCTCTACTCAGTTGATAGATGAGAAAGCCTGAGTAATTTTGCCTTTGTGCCAGGTCCTTATATTTAACAAACTCTTGTGAGCCAAACCAACAGCATTCTCTTACATGAAGTACTGAAAGAAAGCAGAAGTGCACAAAACAACCCACGTCCTGAGTTTGGCCTTGATGTCACGCATTCCCTGGGGACATCTCAAACCAAGAAGGGCCACTGGATTAACCACTTTGTGTATTTCTCTTGGAGAAGGACCCTTGTTCGGGGTGACTTGTTAACTTTATAGTCACACTTTCTCTGTCCTGCAGTGAAAGGACAGAGGGGAAGGGTAGAGTCTGGAGAGGTTCCCAGAAGACTGGAAGTTTCAAAATGGCTGAGTATAGAAGGAAGGAAAGACTAAGGTGACTGTCAGGCTTCTGTCTTTGTATGATTAGCTGGTTTTGTAGAGGGAGTCCTCAAATTGTTTATGTGAGGGGCCTACAAAACATCCCTCTAGAGAGGCCTGGAAAGCAGTTGAACACTCCTGTCTGCAGTTCTAGAGAGACACTGGCTACTCCATTCAGGAACGTCACCCTGGACATGCAGGTTCAACATTCAGCAACACAGAAACCATGCTGGGACCCAGGGCAGAGCAACGAGAGCGGCCCAAGGACAGCACCTTGGAGAGGGCCAGTCTTCGCCATCAGGCCTGGGAAGCAAATTTGTCAATAACCCAGAACACGCAGAGGGCAGCTGGGGAACCTGGCCACTGCGGTGCCCTGTGTTGCACTGGGAGGGGCAGCCAGCTGTGGTGATGAGGGGCCGTGACGTCTGATGGGAACTTCAGGAGCTGCTTGCCTAGGAGAACCTGGGGCCTGGGTGGAAGCTGCTCTTCAGGAGGCAGAGGATGGGTGGGGTGGAAAGAGGGTGGAGACTTCGGAAGGCTCTCCTTTCATGTTCCCCACCCCACCTTTCTCCTCAGCCTGTCTCTCAATGGGAAGACTCAGCACATTTGTGGAGTTGAGAGGAAGAAACCATTGAGAGAGGCTGCTGAGAGCCCCAGGGGAGAAAGGGTATCCCCTGCTCCCTGTACTCCCCATTCGGGGTAGGAGTGGCAAAAATGTCGATGAGTCAGATGGTCAGGGATTTCACATAGTCTTAAAAGACTCAGTGGTGTGTCAGCTCCCAGATGCCCAAGAGTTCTGATAAAATAGCAAAAAAAAAAAAAAAAAAAAGTTGACGTGGCATCTTAGATGTCCGCTTACATTAACATTGAGTCCTCACCACAGCTTCGTAAGGAGCTGTCATCCACATTTCCCGGATGAGAAGACCAGTGCTCAGAAAGGCTCTATGACTTGTTCAAGGTTCCATGTGCTCAATGGTCTGGTTGAACCCCCCCAGTGTTGGGGCCATAGTTGGCTGCCCTGTATTCTTTCAATCCTGCTGGGCAGGGTGGCTGCCATTGCTGGTGCCTGCAATGCAAAAATGAGGATTCCTATAGCAGTTATCAGAACAGCACAGCACATGGCTCAGGAGAACACTTTGGTATCCTCCTGACCACGGGTAGAGCACGGGATGCCATAGTGATCAGATGCTGATGCACCACTGAGTTCATGGCCACATCCTTGGGCTCCCAAGAGGCCTGAGTGTTCTAGAGTCACACTGGCTACTGGACTTCACCTCCTCTCTTCATGATTCCCTAAAAACAGTGAGCAGGAGGGCAGACAAGGCTGTGGATTCATGTGCATCCTTATCCTGAAAGTACCTCATCTCACCCAGGTTGGGGTTGGAAGTAGGTTTTACCAGATGGAATTACCCAGTGACTACTACTGCATACACAGATTCTTGCAGGTAAATACCACGGACAGAGGAAGTCGTTTAGCTGAAGAAGCACAGATATCAGGAAATTAATTGTAATGAAATCTGCTTTTAATGACATCCCCTTAAAAGAATGATCAGTTGCTTTTTTTCTTCTTAAACAAAAACTGTAGATTCTGGGTAGACCAAAAAGGAAAGGAAATGAAGTAACGAGAGCACACTTCTTTAGGAAAGACGACTCCATCCTGGGAGCACTTCATCCTGGTTGCCTGGTGGTACCCACAGAGGCAGGACTCGGCATTCCTGAGATCAGCTCTTTCCCCAGGGTTTGTCACAGGGTTTGGGTGCCAGATGCTTACCAGATGGGCAAAGGGAGATGTCACTGGGGAAGCTGTGCTCCTTCTGCTTCCCTTGAGGCTCACTTTTCTGCACCCCCTTTCCGCAGCCTTTCCGCTGTGCTCACTGCCATTACTCCTGCAACATCTCTGGTTCGCTGAAGCGGCACTACAACAGGAAGCACCCCAACGAAGAGTACGCCAATGCAGGCAGCGGGGAGCTGGCAGCAGAAGCACTCATCCAGCAAGGTAGGCCAAGGGCCAGCCCCGGGACTCAGGTCCTCCCAGGCCCAGACCCCAGAAGAGCGGCGGGCACCTGCGGTTCAGTCTGGTCCATGAATGTGAGCTTGGTCTCTCCTTCATCGTTCTTGTTCTGTCTTTTTCCTCATTGTTAAATAACAGTTGTTATCTAATAGTTGTTATTTAACAATGAGGAAGCAACTGTTGCCTGGTAGGGATAGAATAGCCTTAATGAGGATCTAAACTGACAGCAGGAAACATTACCCACACACTGCCCCAGCCCCCAGCAGTGTTGAGCTGTCATGGTTTCCCTCTACGCCATCTAGACATGAAGTTTGCAGAGAAGAAAGTTCATGATTTTTTTTTTTTAACTCAACATTGATTGACGGGACAGTTTTTTTCCCTTTGATTTACTGTCTTCCTTACTGTAACTTTTAAGGGCTTTTTGCAATACAACATTGAATGCCAGGGATTTTGTAGTAACGGTTCTTCTGTTACTGAACATTGTGGAGTTCCTAGATTTTTTTATTTTCTTTTTGCATTACTATTGCTATTGTAGTATTATTTAGAGATGAACTTTTTTGCATTATCTAAAAATATTGGATACACAGATTACTTATTCATCCCGAAAAGGAAAAACATTTTAGAACATTTAAACTAATAAAAATTGAAGAAAACTTTTAATAGTATTGAAAAGTTTGACTATTTTTTGGTGTTTTGTTGCATTTTTAAATAAATAATCTTATATTCTCACTTAGGAGGTGTAGGCTCATTTGCTGTTACTACATGGAGAAATGTTGTCACATTTATATCTGTACTTCAGTGATTCAGCTAAAATGATGGCAGCATTCTTTGAACCAGTTGCTGCTCTTTCCCAAGTCTTGTGATGATTTGAAGCTGAGGACAGTTTTAGAAATCTGTCCCTGGTGAACAGCGATGGGGACTATGGGCCCTGCTGCAGCTGGGCATGCACAGCTTTGTGAGTCGGTGTGCAGCTCTGCCTGCTGTAACAGCCACAAGATTCTTCTTAATGTGAAACAAGTGAATTGCCAGCATCTTTCAGCACTAGCAATGACAGAGCTGGTGTTCGGAAATAGACGAGCAGCTTAGCAATCTCAGGATGGTTGCAGAGCCATCCATCGGGGTGACAAACCACATGTGCCTTTGTTTTCTGCAGTGGCAGTTTTATGGAGAAATGCGGAGGCCCTGGCTCAAATCTGATTCTTCTTTGGCTGAGCCGCCTCTGCCAGTTACCCACCTCCTGTTCGCAGGCCATTCCTCTATAGGCAGGATCTTGGAGCAGCCATTTGTGGCAATATGGAGGAATCCCGGTGGAAGAACACTCAAGCATTGGTGTGCGATTTGGTTTCATTCTTAGCTTTGTGTTTTTGTTTTTCCCTGAAGATACCTGGGACTGTGGAGCCACTGCTATTTTTCAGGGCCTTGGAGATGCTAGGAATCTAACCTAGGATGTGGCACATGTGGGGCAAGTGCCCCCCTCTAAGCTCCCCCCGCCCCATTACATTACTTTTGAGGACCATTCTCATGTCCAGGAATCATGGAGGGGAAGATGGACTGGCTTAGAGTCACTGTAAATGTCTGGAATGGAGGGCTAGACTTTTGTTTTTATCCTTCACACTCGTGGATTGGATTGACAGGAAATAGACGTTTGTTGTGGCTGGTGGGACAACATGTGGATCTGATTGATGAAACTGTCATTGCTCTGTGCTTCCAAACTTTCATCACTGCCTTGTAAAACATGTGCTGAGGCTGAACTCTTTCATGCCCTAAAATTTCTGTTACTAAGATTCTCTGTAATCAGTTGGCATTTCCAGGAAGGTCTGGGTTTTATATTTAATGTTTGTTATCTTTCATGAACATCTCCTTCCCCCACGTCTTCCTGGGGTATATTGGAGGAGACACCCAATTTCTCCTGACTCTGCCATTGCGCTTCAGCTAGAGAGCAATCTCTGAAATCAGCTGATGAAGTGTAAACACGCTTTAGCCATCTAAGAAGCACAAAGCTCACGCTGTTCTTTTATCAGGAAGAGGGAAAAAGAATGGAGGCAGAGTTTGAAACTGGATTAAATTGTTTGGAAATACAAAATTGTTTGGTACTATCAGAATTTTTCATCCCTTTTTGATTAATTTCAAGTAATTCTCCCCATCTCCACTTGGTTTTGTTTTCTTATGCTCACTCCCCACAAAACATCTTTATGAGGCTTTGTAGTTTTCTTAAAATAGATGGATACAAAGGAAGATATCTTAGAATAATATAATAAAATCTTCTCACAAAATGAAGTTAGAGACTACTTAAACTAACTGCATGGATTCCTTTTCTGCCACCCGTGTATAAATGGTGTCACTTTGTGACATGTGCAGAGCCACTGATTGCCAGAGAAGGCTGTCCTGCCCTCCACACCACAGGGATTCTGGGAAGGGTGCCAGCACACCATGCTTTTCTGAAAGTAGGAAAAAGGATCTGAGTTCTTCCCAGAATAGATGTTTCTGTTCTGAGAAGCGACCACAGTTGTCCACAGAGCTTGGGTGGGTTTCAGTGCACTCCCGAAGCTCGCTGGGAATGGTGCTGCTCGGGCATCCACCAGCAGTGTGCTGGTAGACGTCTCCCGGGGAGGGGAGGGAAGGGAAGGCCTGGTGTGTAGCGTTGTCAGTCACTGTGGCGTAAATACTCCCAGAGGCCAGTGCTAAGCTGCAGCTTGGAAGTTGGGGAAGTGTGTGTGCATTTGGCTTTTGAGCTGTTTTGAGGCAGCTCTAGAATTCCTTGATCCTGAGGGAACAGGGGTGACATTGCCAAGTCCCTGTCAGCTGGGCTTCTCCTCAGAACTCTGGTATTTTTGGTCATTAGTCTTGTCCTAAGTACTAAGTCAGTGTGTTACTCAGCTTCTGCTATACGTGCATCTGATACTTTGAAAGCGGATTCCTCTCAGCCCTCACTTGTTCATTAATATGGATTTGAGGCTCTCTCCCACAGAAACGCATACTTCGTTCTGTGTTGCTTCGATAGTCCTGCCCCTTTCCTCTCCTTGAAACATGACTCATTAAGCTACTCAGGAGCTGGTCTGTAAATCACAGGCAGCAAGAAGAGTGAGGTGCTTTGGTGCCAAGCTTTAGGAGGCTTCAGCTCCCTCCAGTGCTCATGGCAGGATGAAGGTGGAGCCAGAGGCCAAAGAACACTCTCAAGTCCCTCTAGATTATGGAATGAGCCCAGGGGAAGGACTGAGACCTGGAGGGGTCTCTGCTCACGAGGCACTTGGACAGATACTCACCTTCTAACCTCTTCTGCCGAGGAAAGCTAATATTTACCTCAACAGTAGTTGCAAGGATTTGATCTCATTCGCTAAGATTTCCAGGCCGGGTCCAGCATGTAGTCAACGCTTGATAATGGCTCACATTTGCTGTAATGTTTATCCACGTATTTCTTTGGGCACATATCTCTGGAACTCCTAAAGTATGTCCAGAACTATGCTAGCCACTGGAATCTGTTGTCAGACGAGGCGATCCTATGGTAGTATTTGTGTTGTTGCTGCCTAGGTTGGGCATGGGGCGTGAGGCAGTTCCTTTTGAGGCTTTGGGTTCTGATGGTATAGCAGAAAGCACATCCTGCTTCTGCTGTGCCCAGGATGCAGATAGGAGGAACGTCAGCTGCTTCTCTCTCATGTGGCTGTGCCTTCTCTGGGTCCCCAGTTGCAGAGGCATTGAGGTGAGGGTATGTAATTGAGAGAGAAGAAGCAAAGAGATGAGGCGTGTCAAGGAGAAGGCTTAGTTGTCAATTTTATGTTATTTTGAACTATTAAATGAGAAGAATATAAAGACATGTACATGTGAACCTGGAATGTATCTGCGTATCTTATTTTTCACACCAGGTTCAGGAAAACAGCATATCTAAAAACTAAAAACTCATGAATTAGACCTTCAGACACTGTTATTTTAAAATTATATTTATTAGGGCCCAGATTCAACACATTATTGGTAGATGCTTCCAGTAATGTGATGTTGTACTTTGCTGTTGTCATTATCATATCTGCTAATTAATCCTGTGCAGTGACCTTGTGAGGTTGGCACAGGCATTCCTGTTTTAAATGAGGAAATGGAGAGAGGGAAAAGGCTGACTGCAGGCCACAAAGTAAGGAAGTAGCCAAGCCACACCTAGTATTCTTGGCTAGCACTGTGCTTGCCACGCACACCTCGTGAGAAATCTGTAAGTCTGTGCTTGTTGGAGAGGTGAGCAGAAGAAGGAGACGGAGGAAAAGGCTCAGTCCTATTCTAGGGTACGCTGGGTTGCACCTGCTGCTGGACCACGTGTCAGTGACTAAAGGGTCACACAGGGCTGCTGCTTACTTTCTGTGTCTTTGTACCTAGACTGGGTGCTAATTTGACCCAAGGATGATCGTGGGTCCTGTCTCTCTTTCTAGCCCTTCCCCCTGGTTACCCAGAGGGTCTCAGATCCCAAGATTTTGAGGAGTATGGGCGGAGGGCATGGGGAAGGCCCTGTTTACCCGGTCTTCCTCACCGGGGTTGGCATCATGGGCTGGCCTTGGACAATACACGTTGCTTTTCCTCTGCTGTACTTTTCCTCTTATCCTGGAAAGATGGGGCTGAGGTCTCATACAGGATTCAGATGTCACCAAGTCCAGTGGCAGATGTGGTCTAGCAGTATTTTATGTCACTGGGAACCCCTGTGTGGTGCTTGCAGGTGATTTCCTCTTAATTCCTACCCCTGGCACATTTTCTCATTCTGAACTGGGATTCTGGCTGGACTGTAGGGCAGGTACCAAGTTCAGAGATGACAGGAGGTGAGGATGTCAACAAAGACCAAAAGTCTCTGAACTAGTTTTCTCTATCCAGTTTCCTTTGATAGTTAATCTGCTTTTGCTCCAGTGATCCTTTAACATCTGTCTTAGTTTCCTATGGCTGCTGTAACAAATGACATAAAACAGCACAGATATTTTATTTTGCAGTTCTGAAAGCCAAAATATGCAGTGAGTCTT